GGAAGTGGTAGGGTCCAAGGTTGTTGCCCCACCTGCACCCACCAAACATGAGAAATTTCTCTAAGTCCTCATGACACTTGAAAATTTTGTAATGAAATTATGTCAGAATAAAGCTTTAGATTGTATTATTATATGTGTATCAGAATGATTTATGGCTTCAATATATCATTCCAAGAGTATCCATGGGTAGTCATTGCCTAAGGTGCACTAAGAGCTGCTAAACCTGCTAAAGAGGATGGGTTCATTCAAATGTCAATATTTTTGCCAGAAGGGGACCTATGATCTAGAGCCTTTAGCTAGAGTTAGAAAAGTTTAGCAACTCTTAGCAGCAGCTTAGCTACCCCCCTGCTAAAGGCTGCTAAGGGCCTTCGACCTTTTTCCTGATGCTGGATTGAGCGCATTGGCTCGAACAGAGTCAAGGTGTCTTGCCTTGTATTCTTTTATCTTGTCAGAATAGTCCAAAAGCCATCTCTTGGCCCAGTTTTTGCCAACCACAGGGGCAGTGGCTGCCAACTCGGAATTCACTGTGAAAAGCGCATCTGTATCAATGATTTCTGAAAGCGAACCCATTCCACAATGCTTTGCAAGGAGTATAATGTTTGCAAGCTCTTCAAGACGGTCCTTAGTGAGTGGAAAGCCCCTTTCAGCCATATACAAGATTAGCTCCACCACCAAATTGGATTCAGCAGTGCTGAAATGCGCTTTTGCTGCATTTGATTGAGCTTTTGAGACCACCCCACTGAGTCTATTTTGGACAGTACTGAGTGGGACGCCATATCTGTCAGCAATGGCATGCTGAGACTGCTGTTCAGACTCAGGAAGGCTCTGCCGGGTCCGGATTGCCGCAGCAGCCTCCTTGACTGCTTGTTCTCTCTGAGTTTCATTGATGAATGGATTATTGTAGAAAAGCGACATGGTAGTAGGTGCCAAAGTGTCTTGCCACCATGAAGCACACACACCAAAAACTCGTGTCATGTGTAGGGCTAAAAAAATTCATAGTGGATAGATGAATGGCTCAAAACATTGAATTTAATGAATTAAAAAAGAATTGATTTGTGCTAGAACTACAGATGTACCAAAGGAATCTTTATGCACTCAATGGGCATTCAACCCAGTCACCAGCAATAGGCCGGCAACCGGCTATGAATTTATTTGGGCTGCTTATGCTCTTAATGTGGTCCAATGGATCCAAAATTAATCTTAGTATCAAATAACTATCGCCCCGGTACAGCGTAGAGGTACAAACTGCATTTGTACCACTGACTGGGGTCGTGCCAGTGAGGGGTAGCCGACTGTACGTACAGGAGGCCGTCATCGAGCGTTTCGCCTAATTTCTCAATTTCCGCAAATGCACTATAGCCACCAGTATTCGCCTGCTCTAAGATTCCATCTTCGTCGTTATGGGTGCGAGTGTGTCCACTTCCTTGGTATGCGGCCTGCTCAAACACTTCATCGCTCACTCCTTCGTCGAAGAAAATTTGTCCCTTGTAATGCTCAAAGTTAGAGATGCAAGTTTATTATGTAATTAGATCCTTACGATGTGTCGTAATCCTCCCGAA